CTACTTACTATCTACACAGCCAGACACACCACCGTCAGCGGCATTCTTAGTCTTTCATGTCTTCTTTGTCCATACCTCCTACCAAGATGCTGTTCAGTATATCCTATCAGTCAAACCATGTAGCGCTCTTACCCTCTGCTCTTCTTGTTAGCTACAACCAAATCGGCGATGCACAGGACCCTTGCCTCAAAGCAGCTGTCTTCCCACGTGTCTGTGCTCATCTTCCCGGCTCTGGTCCGCGAAAGCTGCAACAGTGCAGACTAGATGCTGTACTGTAAAAAGAGCAACGTCCAAACGAGAGACGTGTAGAGTTCGCGTGTGTCTGAGCGGACAGCTACAGTATGCTACGGTTTTGGGCGCGGAAGCTAGCAGCGCGGGGTACCCGGAACTTGGCCAAGACTCTCGAGACTGCGACGCACGTAGGTACAAGGGTCAAACGCAGCTAAAAGCTGACCACTTCTTTGTCCCGTCTGGCAAAGAAAAGCAGACGTATGGACTGCCTCGTCGCCAGCGCCTCCCACGTTGCTGTGCAGGCAGCTCCTCCTTATTAGGCCACGTTCGCGGGCGTGCTGGCGTGCTGCTGCCTGCTCGGGCTTGGCCTGCTGCAGGATGATCCGCTGTCCGTGCTGACTGCATCAGCTCGGCCAACAAGCACGGCTTCTCAAACCACATTCTCTTCGTCGGGCGACCTTGTCACTCTCCTCGAGACACGCCATTGTCACAATATGACAGCATCTTTTGCGCCACAGAGTAGCTCATGGCCTCCTGATCTCTCGAATACCTGCCTCCGTGAGCGAGGGTATCAGGCTACATGTTCTCGTATGTAGTGGACAGATCGGCTTGGGCTGTTTTGCTGAAAATAGAACGCCTTTGTGGCTTGCTGGCAGAAGGCTTTCTTTTTTTTTCTGCGTAATATCCAGTCCATATAGGGCGGGACGATCGGTAAACACGCTTCCTATCTCTGATTCGCCAAAAGCGTAGATCCACTCACCCTCGTATGCTAGGTCAAAGAAGCGGAGAGCCCCCTCGACACGCAAGACTTGCACAATGAGTTCCTCGGCAGCGAACATGTGCGACAAATTACTAACCTCCTTTAGAGCTATGAAGCTGTTACGTTCACCAGATAATTCTTGTGCACAAAATGCGACAACAGAGGGGCCCGCACTTCCGAACATGCCTCCCACCCAACCTACATCCTTTCACGGATTCAAGACTAGCGCGGTACAGATCCAGGTACTTCGTCGCTTCCTGATTTGATCTTCTTGTCATCTAATTTGATACACATTTAGAGGGCTGCTGGAAAGATGTCTGTTGTTTGGGACTCTTCTGTAACCTGTGAGAATGAAGCCGTAGACTTCATCAGAAAGCCACCGTTGCGAGACGTCCACCAAAATCTCAGCAAGCACGTATTCCGACTTCTTGTCGTCGACTATGATAGACGCGAACAGCCCGAGCCGGATTCGTACTCACGTATTGTCAACGCCGCCCAAGATGCTTTGTGGATGGATAAACATTTCCTCGACCTCTTCGAACAGGGTACCTCTGGAAGCGAAGTTATGGAGGACAACGGAAGGCTTCAGTTCATCGTTCAATCGCCGAGCGATGATGAGGATGCGTACTTCAGCTTTGCGCTATCTTCGTCACATGCCCCAGGTTACAACCGCGAGAGGGATTGGACGTGTCTCTTTTTCGGCGGCCCACAACTCAACTCTAAGAAACTGAAGGATCTGTTGGAGGACATGAAATATCCAGATCATCATCCAGATCTTCTTCCTCCCGACTTCATGATCCTGCCTACAACCATATTGCTTTGGCAAGTGGGTCGCATCGCGCGTGCGGTCACTGAGCTCAATCGAGAGTTCATGGAGCTGGACGAAAAGAACACAAACGAGAAGTCCGAGGATGTGCATCTCAGAAGCTTTGGCCAGGAACTGTCTAGGTTAAGGAAGCTTCATTATCGAGCTCAGTTGCGCTATGCATTTGCGCTAGACTTTGCTCTCAAGCTTGCCAGATGCTTCGAAAGTATCCAGAAGAGCCACTGTGTTGTAAGCGAGACGCAACCGAAACATCCACACGTGCTCAGTAGGATTGTACAAAGTCAAGAAGATGTCCTCAGGAACATTGGTCGCAACCTAGACAATCTTCCCTTGCGGATCGAGGCACATCAATCAATTGTGAGAGCATCTCCAATCTCCTAAGTTCCCTCAAAGTCAATGCTCTCAGTTTTGCATCCCCTTCACCTTCGACCTGACACCATATCTTTTATCAGAGCGCTGCTGTCCGTTGTTACTGATATGCGGCCGGAGTCGGTCTTTGCTAACAAGTAGAACCCTATCATCTGCTTTCCATCGTATTCACAAAATTCCCGCTGTTCCCCAAGCACAATGAAGCTGACTGCTAGCCGGCCCAATAGATGATATCCGCACATTCGTACTACGTAACAGATGCAGCGCGGCGAGATGGGACAGCCATGCTGACCATCGCCATCGTTACCCTTGTGTTTCTGCCTGGCACCTTTGTTGCGGTGAGTTAAAGTGGATTTAATTGGAACACTCGCTGACGATAAGGGGACAGGCAGTTTTTAGCATGTCGATGTTCGACTGGCAGACCAACAAGCAGGACAGCAGTGGAAGACCGGTATCGAACTGGATATGGCTGTACTTTGCCATAGATATACCGCTGACACTGTTGGTATTTAGTGTTTGGCTTTGGTGGAAAAAGCGAAGGGACCTGCAATATAGCGAGAAACTGAAACGTCATCTAGCCTGACTGGTTTCCCCATTCGCTTCACAAAGATGTGTTCATATGGATGAAAGAAGTAACTACTAGCTCGGAACCCTGTTCCTAGTGATCTCCGATAACTATCTACACCTGCTTCATTCTATACACTCTGTATGTAGAGGGAAGGAACTTGTCACTGGGATAGACGGCTACCATTGCTCGATCGATCTCCTTCACCGCTTCTGTGCAATCGTCCCATGGGATCAAGAATGGGGATGTCCTCTGATCCGCCGATCTTTCTTCTCCCTTCCTCCATTGCTTCGCTAACCGTTCCTCATTCCACCTGCTTTTCTCGGCTTTAGCTAAAACTTCTACCTCGAGTTTGGAGAGCTGTTCCACCGGCTTCCGATCGGGTTGTGCTGAAGCCAAGCCCAGGAAGCAAGAGATCAGACGCAACTTGCTCGGTATCGATTCTGCGTGTGCGCGCGAAGATTCTTTGAATTCTTCCCGGAGTCGGGACCAGGGTACGAGGTTTTGTTTCTGTTGGTCCGAGCCTGCTTTATCGATGTGCTTCTGATACATATCATGAAGCTTTTCGGCTAGCTGTTCACGTATATCCACTGGAAGGCGAACGCCGCACATATAAGCCGCCCAGTCCTGGTAGTCGACGAACAGATCGATCTGTGATTCAGCCGGTAGGGCTGCCCGTTCGAACTTGGTGCAATTGTTGAGCCGTGACATGGAGATGATGGATTTCATTGAGTGTATGCCTTGGCGATATTGTGGTGTCAGGAGAAGACCATTGAGGACGCTGTTGTCGATCTCGATAGCCTGCCCAGACCTTAGCTTTTCCTCCCGTTCCTCAAGAAGTGTTCTTATCACGACTGCGCGTCGAACAGGGTACAACCCATCCTGTCCGTGGCCCTCGTTCACTTGATTTGGGCCGACCATATTGACGAAGCCATGGAGACGACCGAGGAAATCTGACATCGGCTTTTTCTTCAAGTCTTCTTTCGTTTTGAAACCTGTTATTCCAAAGAAAAATACAGCCGTTCCAATGGGCCGAGCCACCCCGCCCATGACAGAGAAGCTGCCACTAGCCATAGGACCCAGGAGATGTGGAAGCCAGTCGACGATGGAAGGGTGAGAATCGGTGTCAAAAGCCCGAAAGTAGACTAGGGGTATGTATCCCCCAAGTGTACAGTCTCTTACTTCATGGAAGGCTTCCACTAAACCATTTGCATCCACAAATTGACTCAGATCGAAATGAAGGTGGCGCACATTCCGCCCTCTCGATGCAGCTTCGGCGACCTGACGTGCAGCGAACGACTTCCCAGAGCCTGAGGGGCCAAAGATACCAATGTGTAGAGGACGGTGCTGGGGTGCAGCTAGGTATTGGGCGAGAGAATTGGAGAGACCACGAAAGAGCTCGATCTCCTTGCGATCGAAGAGCACTAGGCGATTGAAGCGTGCAAGAGGAACCTCAATGCTGTCTGCTTGAATGCCCTTTGTGACGATAAGACGGGCTATTTCCTCCGGCTGGCCGACAACTTGTTCCAGAATGGACCACTCCGGTCGTCCTTTGCTGATGACATCGGAGGGTATTGAAAAGCGCAGCAATTTCTCTTTTTCATCTTGTGGAGAGCTATTATGTCCCATAATCTCTTCGATGTTGTATACATCTTGGGGTGTACAACTTAGTGCTAAGCCATTCTTCACCAGACGCCTGGCAGTTCGCAGCCCCTCTTCTATACTTTCCTCCATGTTCCAATTTCCATTTGCGGCGAACTCTTTAGAGAAACCTGCGATGAATGCCTCCGCGACTCCCGGAATGTCACCTGAGTATTGCTTCTTGAATTCGCCCTCAGCTCTCAACGGATCAAAAAACAGTCTTGGTCTCGAAATTCGGTCTCCGCGGTGGTAGATAACACCATCGCACCCAAAGAGAACAATCAAATGTGCAGCTGTCGCAAGCGTGACAAGCTTCCCTACTGACCCTAGTTGAGCTACAAAATCCTCGCAGGTCCTGTCCCAAGAGAGGCCGTAAGAGAGCTCGATCCCTTCTGCGCGAAGATCCTCAGCTGAAACAACAAGGATTACGCGTTCAGGTTGGTTGGTGTTTTCGGAATTGCGAGGGCCAGTGCGGATGCAGTTCCAAAGTTCCCCAGTGCAAAGAGGCTGCAACATGTGGTAAACGATATAGCGTGGGCGGATCCGATTAAAAAATTCTATGGCCCTCTCTGTATCCTGTTCGTCGAACTGTGCATATGCGCGTGCATCCTGGAATATGTAGACTGAGCTCTCGCTGTCGCCGCTAGGTAAAGATCCACTGGGCAAATGCCCACGTGGCTTCGCTTCAAGACACTGCTCACTGTGAAGCGACAATCTGCTGGGTTCCTTTTCATCGGCGGCAATGAGTTTCAGTTTGATGATTGCATGTAGATCTTGATGTTCTCTGGGGGAGAGGTCTGGACCATGTGCGCGGAATTTCGAACCATTTCCAGTGGAGCCTGTCAAAAGGCGATTTACGAAACTTGAGCCACCTCGCACCCAGTCGACTCGTGGCGTTGTATCTGGTGGAGACAGAAAGAGGTAGAGAGGAGCATCGCCAGCGATGAAAAGTGAAGGAGTTGACGTCATCGGGGCAGAAGGGAGTGTTGGAGTATCGTTCAGACGAGACTGACGAGCAGATGGCGAGAATAAGTGGAGGTATTGCATTACGCAGCTGAATGTGGTTTGAGAAGCCGTGCTTGTTGGCCGAGCTGATGCAGTCAGCACGGACAGCGGATCATCCTGCAGCAGGCCAAGCCCGAGCAGGCAGCAGCACGCCAGCACGCCCGCGAACGTGGCCTAATAAGGAGGAGCTGCCTGCACAGCAACGTGGGAGGCGCTGGCGACGAGGCAGTCCATACGTCTGCTTTTCTTTGCCAGACGGGACAAAGAAGTGGTCAGCTTTTAGCTGCGTTTGACCCTTGTACCTACGTGCGTCGCAGTCTCGAGAGTCTTGGCCAAGTTCCGGGTACCCCGCGCTGCTAGCTTCCGCGCCCAAAACCGTAGCATACTGTAGCTGTCCGCTCAGACACACGCGAACTCTACACGTCTCTCGTTTGGACGTTGCTCTTTTTACAGTACAGCATCTAGTCTGCACTGTTGCAGCTTTCGCGGACCAGAGCCGGGAAGATGAGCACAGACACGTGGGAAGACAGCTGCTTTGAGGCAAGGGTCCTGTGCATCGCCGATTTGGTTGTAGCTAACAAGAAGAGCAGAGGGTAAGAGCGCTACATGGTTTGACTGATAGGATATACTGAACAGCATCTTGGTAGGAGGTATGGACAAAGAAGACATGAAAGACTAAGAATGCCGCTGACGGTGGTGTGTCTGGCTGTGTAGATAGTAAGTAG